AAACTTTAAAATCTATATAATGATCCATGAATATTAGTTATATAATTCCTTTTCATAATGTATAAAATCGTCTTGACTCATTTCTATATTTGGAGTGCCAAAATTAACTTCACAATCCTTATCTGACCCACTTGATACTATTATATCTTTATTTACGAAGTTATCTTCAAGTTTTCTTTTTTCATTATCTGATACATTATTGTCATCAAATAATAATTCGTTTATTATTTTTAGAAGTACAAAGGTAGGCATTTTTTTATTTTTTTGAAATTCTACTGATGTTTTTTTACTAAAAACCTGTAACTCTCTTTTTGTAGATCTTCTCCATTATTTATATCCATAAAGTCTTCTAAAGAAGTTATCAAATTATTAGGTGAATCATCATTTGATATTTCTGTAATATTAGTATATTTTCTTTGAGATATAGTTCTATTTATAAAATAAGATTCATGAGATTTTTTAGTTCTAAGATCCACTAATTTTCCTTTATATCTATAATAATAGTATGGTTCAGATTTTCGAGTTCAAGAAGGATGAATATAAGGAGTTTTCTGAATACTTTGAGTATTTTCAGTTTTATTATATGACATTTCAATTTTTTAAATTTTTAATGAAGAATGGTAAAAATTTATTTATTGTTTATTATAATCATTATTATATAATAATTTATTTATTATAATTATGATTATATAATAATAGTTTATTAAGTTTTATTGTAATTTATTGTAGTTTATTATAGTTTATTATAGTTTGATTTGAAAGTTTATTTAGAATCATATAAATATAGATATCATCTGATTTATTTTTTTTTTAAAAAAAAAAACTTCTTTCTAAACACATTATATTAACAATAATGGACAAATACAAGTAAAAATATTTTTATTTTTGTTTTATTTTATATTTAGTTATTTTAAAGAAATGTTTTACATACTGCTGATATAGAGAAACTTTATTGTAAGAAAGAGGTAGAAGCCAAATTCTATACTATTACCAGGAAGAGGATGCCTCATATTCTTCATTAAGAAGAAATGGAAAGGATTTTTACTGAAAAGACACTCACTCTTGTCAAGATTTTTCATTAAATAGAGATAGAAGTCAATCTTTGTATTCTCATTTGAAAGATTCTAGAAGTAAAAGTCGAAGTCGTCACTTTCATCAAGAAGATTATTTATTAAATAGGAATAGAAGTCCATACTCTCATTGGGAAGATTTTTCATTAAATACAAGGGAAAAGAAAGGAAGAGAAAGAAATATCAGTAGAGAAAATAATGAAGAAATGATAGCAGGAAAAGAGTTCAAGAAAGTAAATATATTAAATAGAAATATTATACTTTAACTACTAATAATTTTATATCAGAAATTGCAGAATTACATTCAACTATATTAGATTTAATAAAGGAATTTAAAGAACTTCATGATGATAAAGAAGCCTATCATCAAATTAGTTTGAAAATAGAACAGACACACAATATTCTTCACCTTCTGATATGTTATTAGCTAGATATACTAAAGCTCAGAACAATTTAAAACTAATGAATAAATTATATAAAAAAACTTTTTGGGTTAGTAATAGCTTATATTATATCTCTATCTTTCATTTTGCTAGTTTCATCTATACTGAGCGTGTAATATTTCAGAGATGTTGCTATAGATAAATTGTTTATATTTTTAACGGGTGATCTTTAGTACAATAATTTTTTATTGATTTATCTATTTACTTTAGAATGAAGTTATCTAAATCTTAAAGGGCCTTGATAACTCTTTATTTATCGATCATATGAAATGTTAGCTTGAAATAGAAAGAGATATATCACAAAATACTTTACCAGCTATAAAAAAAGTATTGGGAGATCGATTTTAGTATATTGATATAGAGTTAAAGAAAGTTCTACAAAATCTTTATAGACATAGAAAAGATTTATATAATACTTTATTGAATCCTTTAAAATCAAAGATAAATAAACAAAGAACTGGAACAAATAGTAGAAGAAAAGATATATGTATATGTGAAATTTTTATATTTATATAAGTTTTATTAATATTTATACAATTTTTTAAATTTATATATTTATTAAATACAATTTAATATATACTTATTTATTATTTTATTATTTTATATAAAGAAAAAAGAGAGATGACAAAGAGGATTTTACCATATGGTAAGTATTAAAGACTAAAAGTTAATAGATTTATAACTTTTGATACTATGGAATGATTGTATTAGAGAATTGGAGAGGATTATCGACAATTCAGGTTACCATTCAGATGAAATTTCTGAAATGAATACAGAGAAAGTATAAGAAGAAAATGATAGAAATATTCATGCATCACAAAAAGAACGTTCAAACCATGTAATTCACATTTATAACAAGCAATAGTGATCTCGTAGAGTAAGTAAAACTTCTTTTATATGGATAAAATATAATTTGTTTATATTTGTTAATTTAAATTTATATTTGTAGATTAGGAATCTTTTACAATATACTGATGAGATAGAAGAGCATATTCAGAGTATAAAATTAGGATGAAAAAGGTGGTATTATAATTAATTGTATATAGAAAATAACTTCAAACTACCTCATAATACACCAGTATAGGCAATGTCATCTTCATATTATTTTGAATAGATATTTATGCAATTTATTTATTTCATGTAATTTTCATTTATAATATTAAAAAATGTATTTTATTTCAATGTATTACCTTTAG